AGGTGAGCAGTACTACCTTACCTGCATGTTCACATTGCATAACATGCTTCTCTCTAAAGGGTTTTCCATGAATTTTTGTCAGCAGCAACAAGCAAAAACAGCCCTTCAGTCTGAGTTCTGCTGTGCAGAGAAAGGACAGGAAGTACTTTGCCTATGGGTGTCATCTTCTCCTCACTCTACTTTTCCCATCAATATGACCAGGCTCCATCAGAATGAGAAGCCAGTGGACGTGGGGAGGGACCAGGCTGATTAGAAACCAAGGGGCCAGGAGCTCCTGTCATGGTCTTAGCCATGGCTGTTATTTGTTTTTTATATGTTAGGAACTCTAGGAATGTTCAGCGCATATTAAATCCAAGATAGCCTACATGAGTGTTTGGGATATTCACATAAAAACAAATAATTTCAGCAGAAACAAGATTTACTTCCTATATTTCATATTATCTGCTCCTTGCTGCTTTGCAAAGACTAGCAGGTGCAGAAATGTCCCCAAGCAGAGTTACATAAATATAAAATGTGATTCATGTGTATGTTTACAACCACAAAGACACATTAATTGGTAGTCTCCAGCAAGAGTTAAGTTCTTTTACAAATGAAACGGGGACACTCGGTGGTTAATGTGCTGAGTGTGCGATTGGGAAACCCAACCTTCTATTCTGGGATCTTAGACCTGGTATCTTCAGCAAATGACAGCATCAATATTTTAAAGTCATATTTGGCTTCCAAGAGTAGCAGTGGGGTTTCCCTCCCTTCGGAGATCCTTCTGGGAGGTACCTTCCCCTCTGTGTTGTGCCTGGTACAACTAACCCTTCTCCCCTGAAAGCAGGCATGCCTGTCAGGAGAAGCAATTCCTGCCCTTTGCCCCTTAAACTTTGATTTAGCATCAACCCAAAACATATTTTTATTTTATGGACTCTGTTTAATAGTCTACAACCCACAGTTAATGTAAAGGGATGCAGAATGGATGCAAATACTTACTCACTGCACAAAAAGAGGTGATAAAGTGAAGCAGAGAAGCACCAAGGGCTGGAGGTGTAGCTCAGTGGAAGAGCACTTACATGAGGCCATGGGTTCAATGCCCAGTACCACACACACACACACACCACACACAAAGGCATCGCCCACCTGATGGACTGTATGGACAGCAGCATAGGTGGGAGGCTCCACACCTGAGCAGATCTTCCACCCTTAAGGCTGCCAATGAGGTGTAGTTGATTTGTGTCCGACCTGGGATCCCCAAACACCCACAAGTCACCTCTCCAGAACAGTAGAGGTTACAGAGCCCCTGAAGAGGCAGAAAATCTCTACTCAGCCCTCTCATGAGGGTTCTGTTCTGCTGGAAATCCAAAAAAAGCAAGACAAGACCTTCAAAAGCCACAGTCTGAGTTTGATGAGTGTGGGGCTTAGAATCATTATGGGGTGGGAGACTCTGGGCCAAAGATTTCCTCACATTACTGTCTGTAGGTAGTGACTTTCCTGCTTTACCAAAAGAAAAAGAAAAAAAAAAAAAAAAAAAAGAAGCAGCAGCAGCTTCCCTCTGACCTGTAAAAAGGAGAAAGGTGGGTATCTTTTATTGGAAGTAAGGCATCACAAAATTATTTAATTATAAGCTCAAAGGGGCACTGTGTTCATTTTGTATTCTCTTGGCTTTCGGCAGGATGCACTGAGCCTTCCTAAAAAGATAAGACTCGATCTATTTTTAAACATACCCAAAGAGGTCAGTCCAGTTTCTGCTCCTCTGTCAGATAGGAAAATTTCCCTTTCTGACCTCATCACAGGTGAAGTTTTCCCATTTCTCACGTCAAGCCTTCACATCAGACTTGGCTTGGTTTGCTCAGTGGTGATGGTGAACAGTTGGGCTGAGGGTGCCCTCAGCCTTTTCTAAACTGAACTTCCAGCGCTACACCTGTATGAAGTTACAACTGCTAATCAGGATATTTGGACCTGAATCAATATAGCGCTAAATGCCAACAGAATGAGTCATGACATACTGAAAGACTGCCACTCTTGTCATAACTTCCCTTCTCTGCCGTCAACTCCAATGTCAACATCTCTCTGTTCACCATCTCTCTTCTAACCCTCCCCATATACATACAACAAACGTGCACTCATACTGTAAATAGAGAAACTCCTCATGCAGCTAGTGAACATCTGACCTCAGCCCTCATTATTCACATCCAGGAGTGGCACTAACGGGTGAGACTGGGGAGCACACTGGCTGAAGTTCTGGCTCTGGGACCCTTGACACACTTCATAATCTCACTATGGAAGGATTTTCTTGTCTGAAGAATAGAGACAATTATAGTACCTACCTTACAGGGTTGTGGCAAGGGCTAATGAGTTAATGCATGAAAAATCCTTAGAATGGAGTCTAGTACTTTGGTCCTAAATGCTATATAGTTGTTAGGTATTGTTTGACCCTTCTTGCAGCAGAGGGACATTTGGTGGCACCAAACTACACCTGATATCAGAAGATAGGAGCTTAAGAAAGAAAAGGAGGAGTTATTCAAAGGCAAAAGGTAAGCAAAAAATGTCAGCAGGGTGAAAGACAAGAAAAAGAGCAAAACACAATCAGGAAAATAGACAAAAAGCTAACAGGAAAAAGGCAGAAGCAGACATTTAAAATAGAGGAGAAGGGAAAAGAAAGAAGGCAAGAAAAAGGGAAGTGAGTAAAAAGATGGGCATGAAAGGGAAAAGGAGAAAAAAGAGAAAGGAGAATCAAGACTAGCAAAGACAATGGCGCATGGAAGATGAGGTCATTCACAGAAGGAATTTATCTGGAGACAGGAGGAGAAACTGGTGTCAGAAAAAGGCTACACTGGCAACAACGGCCCTCAGGTATCTTTAAATTGGTTTACATGCTCCTTTCACCCCTCCCCCATCCTCAAGGCTCCTGTCCCTCTTCCTCCTGTTGTAACCTGTTTTAGAAATTACCCCAGACATGGTCCCTAAGGATCCTTGTGTCAGATGGCTGCCTTGTGTCTCCCTCTGCTCTACAGACAAAGCCAAAAGGCAGCCACCAGTCTTCACTTCATTGGCACTAAATACTCTAGCTGTCATCGTTCCAGTAAAGGGTATGTTCGCACCCCCAACCTACTCCAAACATTCAGAACCTGTAAAGGGAGCTGTTGTCTCAATTTTTAAATTGTTCCCCTTAACGGCATCCCTCAACCCCACTTTTTGGACGATTAAGAACTAGAAGGGAAAGATGGTACAGCACTGCAGGAATATGCCGCTTTAGGGTTCCAACTTTCCTCCCCACCGAAGGGAATTAACTATCCAACCACTGGGAGACAGGAGGGAGGCACAATGTTCAACTACTCTTTCAAGATCTTCACGATTAAATTGCCTGTTTGATGCAAAACACGTCGTCCTATTTGAGGAAGTCGGGAGACCTTCCAGGAGGATTCAGGCCGAGAGCAGCCGGCTGTTCACTCCTGGGTGCGCCTGGGCCACCGCCGCGCGAGTCACGAAGCCAGACGCGGCGCGCGTCTCCGCCTCGGACTCTGGAGACTGCAGCAGCGCGGGCGGGAGGCGGGAGGACAGGCGACTCCCGCGGCCACGTGACCTCCTCCCCGCCGCCGCTTCCCGCGACCCAGATCAGTCCCCGGAACCCGAACCTGGCGGGGCAAGCGGGGGCAAGCGGGGGACACGTAGCGACCGCCCGGGTCCCTGCTGCGCCCCAGTGCATGGTGTATTCGGTGCGCTTCTCTTGATTCACGTGCCATTGACGATAATTAATGCTCCGGAGAGACTGCAAAACAGCCTGGGCTTTATGTATGTGCAGCCATGAGATCACGCACGCACACGCACACACCTATTTGCCCTCCATTCACCGCCGGCAGACCGAGCTGCAGCGGCGTGGGACGCGCCCTTGGCCTCGCAGGCGCCGGGGCCGCTGCGCGGGGCAGCGTGGGCAGCGCGCATCTCCGGGTGCCGCCGGGAACTGTCCCCTAGCGGTGTGTCACCATCCCGGGCGGCTCGGGGACAGGGAGCCCGGCTGCGCCGGCCTTGCGGCTCCGCGCCGAGCGCCGGGTGCAGGGCGAGCGAGCGCGCGCGCGCACGGGCTCTGAGCGCAGTGATGTGGCAGGAGCGGCAGGTCAGATCACGTTGCTGGCCCTGTGCTGGTACCCGTCTGAGACCGGATTAAGGAGGGAGGCTCTGGAGGTGCCAGCGGTAGTAAACGTGGGCTCGGCACACTCCCGGCGTGGCTTATCGCACAGGGAGGGGGAGGGGAGCTCAGAGGAGGAACGCAGCGTCACCGCAGGCGCAGGGGGCGTCGGAGCCCAGCGGGCCAGTGATGAATGCTGCACTGCTGGCCGGTGGCAGCCCCTCGGTGCCACCCGCCCTCACTCCCCGCCCCACCCCCGCTCTCTCCTCCGGGAGCCAGGAGGCCCCAAACGTCGTCATCGACTGCTGTGATTAGTGGCACCGCAATTCCGGCTGCTGCGGGAAGTTTGGGTGGCCCGGGGACACTGTGTCGCCCAAAGACACTTGGAATGCGACAGTCTGACCCAGTGACTACATTTTCATCTCTCTTAAATCCTTCAAGGAGAGGATTTCAACCTCCTTTTCGGGGCTACATCCGACCAGCTCCAAGGGGTCACCCCCCCAGGCCACAGAGCAGTGAGCAAACAAGTCTCCAAAATTTGCTTCGGGGACTGAAGTTTACCCACCGCTGGTTCTCTTTCTTTCCTTCCTCTGGTCCAAACCGACAACGCAATCGCTGGAAAAGCCAAAAGCCGCGTTCACTTCCCTGCACTGCAAAAGGCTGCCGAGCGCAGGGAGCCGCATTTCCTCCCAAGCCAAGGAAGCCCGGGCTGCCCCGCACCCGCCCCTCCCCCTGCAGACTGCGTCGCCCCGGGGAAGATGAAGAGCGTGGCCCAAGTTGTTTTTCCTTTCCGGTGGCCCTGATCAGGTGTCCCCGCCCCCTCCCGCCGCTCGCCTTTCCCGACGCCCCCTCCCGGCCCGGCCCCTCCTCTCCCGCCCCCCTCCGGGCTGGACCGTGGATGGTACGTTCCGCACGTGAGCTGGGTGCTGGTCTGGCCGGCGACGCGCGTGCCCTGTGGCCAAACACTGCCCGGAGTGAGAGCAAACTCCCAGCGCAGTGGGGCCGCGCGAGTGTGCGCGTGTGCGCGCGTGTGTGCGAGCGAGCGAGCGCGGGGCGGCGGGGGGCCAACTGCTTCACACTTTCCACACTGCACGGAAGAGAGAGAGCCAGAGAGACTGGAGACGCACAGGTCCCCCCAAGATCTTCTGAGGCTACCGTCCCACAGATCGTATAGAGCAGAGCCCCAAAAATCGAAGCAGGGGGAAACGACAGCGTTTAAACATGGACGAAGGAATCCCTCATTTGCAAGAGAGACAGTTACTGGACCATAGGGATTTTATAGGGTAAGGTGCACGCACCCTTGCGAATATCTGTCTGGGCTTCGGTTCGGATTTTTTTTTTTTTTCTTCTCCAGAAAGTGGTATGGAGCGGGCGAGGGCAGAGCTCCTCCCGGAATGGGTGCCTGATGCTGGATTTCTGTTTTGCAGACTGGACTATTCCTCTTTGTATATGTGTAAACCCAAAAGGAGTATGAAGCGAGACGACAGCAAGGTAAGTTTCTCATAACCTGCCTGGATAGTTAATTAGGACCATCGATTTCACGGTGGAGGTCTGCCTGCAGAGATATTCCGGCTCTGAGCTTTCCGGTTGGGAATTTTAAGTGGCTTGCTGGGTACTCTCAGGGGGATATGAAGCATCGTACCTGAATTTAAATTGCACCTCCGAACAGTCTAGAGGAAAGAGGCTTCTTGGGTATAGTTTATCAGATAGTGTGTTTTGAGGGGTGGGGTGACAACCACCCAGTAAGCGAATGAGCCAATGTTTACCTACTGCTTTCTCTCTTCCACCACTCGTATATTAAGGATACCTACAAATTGCCGCACAGATTAATAGAAAAGAAGAGAAGAGATCGAATTAATGAATGCATTGCCCAGCTGAAAGATTTACTACCTGAACATCTGAAACTGACAGTAAGATGCACAATTTCCTTCTTTGCTGCTCTCCGAGGGCGTGTTAATAGCCTGGTACGACTCCCAGAGATATAAGAATAAATGAGAATATTAGAGGCCCGACTTCAACTTGTGCTGTAGTCTACGGTTTCCCACAATCTCAGAATGGGTACCCCCCAGCCTATCATTTATAACCTGTCTTGTGGGAAGCTCAAGAAGTGTAAGAATAGTACTTGTTTCAAAGTGTTTGCCGGAGTCGTTTGTGCTGACGGGAGGACCAATCAAAGCAAATGTGCGTTTTTAAGTAACCAAGTGTCCCCCTGTCTCTTACACCACTGCAGACACTGGGGCATCTGGAGAAAGCGGTAGTCTTGGAATTGACTTTGAAACACTTAAAAGCTTTAACAGCCTTAACCGAGCAGCAGCATCAGAAGATAATTGCTTTACAGAATGGTAAGTCGGTGCCGGGAGCCCAGCCTCCCTGATGAAGCGGGGCAGCCCCGGAGGAGCTGGGCAGCGACTCCCCCACCCCCACCCCCTTCCCCGGGCTCACCCTCCCTGGTGGAAATTGCTTCTACTTTCCCTTCACTGGAAAATGCCCATTTCCCGAAGCATCCTGGAGGCTTTCTGCACAGCTCAGAGGAATCAGACTTTAATTTGAAGTGGCGTTTGCGCCTCTCCACTTTGATTTCTCAGCCTATTGGAGAGCCCCCCCCGTCCCCACCCCCGCCACCCGCCTTGTCCCAGCAATCAGTGAATTATATCACTCGAATGCTCAGGAAAAACCCAGGTCACTGTAGTCAGTGCACGGCCCACGTGATAAGCAGATGTTTTAACGTCGGTATTTTTCTTCTTCTTCCATGCCTCCGCCCCCGCCCTCACCCCTGGTCCATCGTAGGGGAGCGAGCTCTGAAATCGCCCATTCAGGCCGACTTGGATGCGTTCCACTCGGGATTTCAAACATGCGCCAAAGAAGTCTTGCAATACCTCTCCCGCTTTGAGAGCTGGACACCCAGGGAGCCGCGTTGCGTGCAGCTGATCAACCACTTGCACGCCGTGGCCACCCAGTTCTTGCCCACTACGCCGCAGCTCTTGACGCAACAGGTCGCGCTAAGCCAGGGCCCCGGCGCGCCCTCGGCCGCCCCCGCGGGGCCCTCGGCCGCCCCTTGCCTGGAGCGCGCGGGGCCCAAGCTGGAGCCGCAGGCGCACTGCGTGCCGGTCATCCAGCGGACTCAGGCCAGCGCCGAGCTCGCCGCCGAGAACGACACGGACACGGACAGCGGCTACGGCGGCGAGGCGGAGGCCCGGCCGGAGCGCGAGCCGGGCCCGGGCGCCCCGGGCGCCCCGGCGGCGCGCGTCACCGTCAAGCAGGAGCCCCCCGGGGAGGACTCGCCGGCGCCCAAGAGGATGCGGCTGGACGCGCGCGGCGGGGGCGTGGGCGGCGCGCTCCTGGGCCCCGACCCCGCGGCCGCGCTGCTCAGGCCCGACGCGGCGCTGCTCAGCTCGCTGGTGGCGTTGGGCGGGGGCGCGCCGTTCGCGCCACCCGCCGCCCCCTTGTGCCTGCCCTTCTACTTCCTCTCGCCGTCCGCCGCCGCCGCCTACGTGCAGCCCTGGCTGGACAAGAGCGGCCTGGAGAAGTATCTGTACCCTGCGGCCGCGGCCGCCGCCCCGTTCCCACTGCTCTACCCCGGGCTCCCCGCCGCTGCCTTCCCCTGCCTGTCCTCCGTGCTGTCGCCGCCTCCGGAGAAGGCGGCCGCCGCCGGCCTCCCGCCGCGCGAGGGGGCGCCCCCCGCGGCGCTGCGCCCCGAGCCCCCTCGCGCCCGCGCCCACCTGCGCCCCGAGAGCACCGCCCAGGACGACGCCCCGCAGCCGCAGCCGCAGCCGCAGCCGCAGCCACAGCCGGGGAAGGCCGGGCCCTGAGTGCCTGCGCCGCCTCCCGAGCGTGGACAGTGACAGACAGTGATAGGTCCAAACCCCCTGGACGCGGTTAAGAGAGGACGAGCAATAGCTGCACAGGCTTAGGAAAAAAAGACAAAAACAGGTGTTTGTAGGTTTGGAGTTCCCGTTTTGCTAATGGCTCCCCATCCCCACCCTCACACTAACACCCCCTCTCTGTGCAAGACCCTCTGCCACACATACTGGTTCTCTTTTCTTTAAATAAGCACCTCCCCCCAGCCTTGCCTCTGTGTACCCTGTTCTACAGAAAGTTAGGCTATGCTCTGTGCCTGAGCTCACAAAGCAGGTTAGGGAAAGGTGCTGGGGCCTTTGACCCCTATGACCGCAGTGACAGGGACCAGCAGGGACTGTGTCTCAGCTGGCCTGCCTGTTTTAAGAGGGGCCCCACAGACACATTGAGGGTCTTGAGAATGAACTTACTCCTCAGTATTTTGCAATATTCAGCGTTTGAAAGACATCTAGCTTTCAAAGAACAAGCAAGGATGTTCTGCCCACGTTGCGCCCTGCGTAGAGACACCAAATTGGGCCATTGTCAGCACTGCCAGAGGAGATGGGCGAGGAAGGCCCGAATCGTCCCCAGTACCTTTGCTCGCACTTTATTGAGAAATTAACCGTGACTCAGTTGACTCACCTTAAATTCTGCTTAATTCACACACAGGTAATATATCATAAATTATATATTCACATCCCAAATGCATCTCTTCCCACTCATTACTTAATCCATCATCACGTTCCTAATTTTTTTGTAATCTTACTGTAAAAAAATGTGCACTGAACCTAAAAAAGAAAACAAGTCCAAGCCGAGCTATCCTCTACTCCGGTTAGATGACAGGAGCACAGGGAAGCGTAAAGCCGGTTAGTTCTGATTCCAAGTGCTGGGAAGGAGGTAAGCCCGCCAGGCCTTCCTCTCTCCAGGTCTATGTATTTTCTGGAGACCAAACCAGATACCAGATAATCACAAAGAAAGCTTTTAAAATAAGGCTTAAACCAAGACCTTGTCTAGATATTTTTAGTTTGTTGCCAAGGTAGCACTGTGAGAAATCTCACTTGAATGTTATGTAAGGGGTGAAACACAACAGTCTATGAGTGAGGAAAATATCCGGGTCTTTTAGCTGCTGCTGCTGCTTTTGCCTCAAACGCTGTGTTTAAACAACGTTAAACTCTTAGCCTACAAGGTGGCTCTTATGTACATAGTTGTTAATACATCCGATTAATGATGTCTGACATGCTATTTTTGTAGGAAGGAAAAAATACGTGCTAATGATATTTTGAGTTAAAGTATCTTTGGGGCGGATTTGCTGAAATGTTGCACTTTGTTACAATGCTATGCTTGGTACAAGCTTAAGCTGTCTTAAATTATTAAATAAATACTGTCTGCAAGAAAACAGCTGGTTTAGAAAAAGTTTAGTATGTGAAGACAGACAAGAAATTATCTTTATATGCTAGTATTTTCAGCACTCCATAATTACATAAATATTGCCATACTATTTTGTGATTTAAAAATTCTTACTAAGGAATAAAAACTTTATATATGATATGAGATTGTCTAATAATTAAGAAGAGACATACTTGGCTGTTCAGGTAGTTTTAAGCTACCTGTGGCTATAAAAATGAAAGTCATTTTGGTTCTCAGCTAGACAGCACTTTTTGTCATTGACCTAGTGTATCACAGGCTCCAGTCTCCCAAGCCTACAGCCCTGCATGTGTGCCTGCTTGCTCCCAATGTATCTTAAAGAAACCTGGTCCCCACTACCTGCATGTGGGCTTGTGTTAGACCCAATTCACTGATGTTTTCATGATTAATGAGGTTTTTCACACTATGTCTGTGACATCTAATAGTCTGTCCTGTGTGATCTGGCATTTCTGTTTCACTGGGGACCTGGTTAAATGCACACCACGTAGGGGTGCTTAATTTCTGGGAGACTTTTGGCTTCTTAACTTTTATGAAATGACTCGATTGTGGGACTTTATCATGGAATTTCTAGACTTTTCTCAAATTTGTAATCAAATCTATGATTTGATACGAATGGAGATTGTCAGTTTTTAGTTTCTTTTCCACCTACTGAGTTTTGAAAGTGTTTAGATGACAGTGGGGGGATTTGTGAGATGTAGAAAAACTGCTCCCTCTGCTGACTCTATGAGCTCCAACTGCAGCCCATCAGAAACAGAACCAGAAGAACACTCAGCTGGTCCTGGATCAGCTGGTCCAGCATCCTGTGTTTTCTACCAGGAGGAAAATGAAGCCTGAGACATTATGTATCTCCCATAGCCGGCACCTATGGCTAGGCTCATTGTAGCCCTCAGTCAACCAGCTACTTCCCACTGGAGCATCTTAGCCCAGGTAAGCTGAATTTTTTAGGGTAGCACTCATAAAACATAGCAGACAAACATGGAAACAAGTGAAATAAAAATTAACCTTAGGGAATCAACGTTAGAAAGCTAGGATTTTTGAGCATTGCTAATCTGTTAAATTTAGAAAGATTATCCCTCTAAAACGCAATAATTTAAATATTTTTTCAACTACATTCTATTGCCGTTATTGTAGTAATGCTAGTTTCATAATAAAAGAGTCAAAGTAAATCAGATGATAGTAAAATATTTTAGCATGTGTATAATTTTGGTACAATAAGATAAAAAACTTTAGGGTTGGGCCAGATTTTATAGCTCAGTTATTTAGTCCCAGTGCCCATAAAACACCATAGTTAGATAAAATTAAGTCAGAAAAGCAAAATAATACTGTCAGTATTGCATCCAAAAAGTCTTATTTTTGGTCATTGATTCATTTTCATGAATTAAGATTGAAATATATTCACTGAAGAGGCTTTTCTATCTGCAGCGGTGAAATTTCAGCTAAATTGGTGGGAAATTGTGTGATTTTTTTTTCCAATTGAGGACAAAAACTAATCTTGAGTCAATAATGCTTTTTATTAGTATTGTCCTGATTAGTTTTACATACACATATCTGTCAGCAAACTTTATACTGAATTTACAAATGTCTTCCCCTGCCAGACACACAGCTAATAGCAAACTTAAGCACTCTTTCAAGGCTCTAGAAAGTATAGCTATGTAAATGTGACTGGAGTTTTAGTTCCTGTCACTGTGAAACTACTTTTTATTTAGTTCTCTGTTATTGACTTTGGGCCCCAACCGTGGTCATCGCTTATCACCTGGGATTTGTTCACAAGCTGTGAAGAAGGCACCTAGGCCTAGGGCCTACTCCTGTCCTGTCACAGAGCAGTCCTCAGCTGTCCAGGAGAGGACTGCCAACGGAGAGCTAGGGAAGGCATGACCAGACATACAGACCAAAGCTTTTTAGTTTAGATAGAAGGGAACAGAACTCTCATGATTAAAACCATTAAATGCCAAAAGCTGACTGTCCTACTGTGATAAAGATATTTTGCTTCAGATAGTAACCTGGTGTTTTTTATTACCTTTTTCTTCATCTGTTGGGCTTTTGACATATATATAACCATAGATCAATATATCTAGGTCTTCCTGTTGTTCTTAATATGCTATTTTAAATAAGTTCAAAGTGGATTTTCAGTGCATGCTAAAATTAAATGTAAATTTCAGCTTTTCGTAGGAGAATTTAAGTAGAGGATTGAGACAGAAAATCATTACATATTTCCCATGGTTAGAATGGGATTTATACTAAAAACATGCACAGTGCATATTCTTTTGAAGTATGCTATTCTAGGATTTATATGTTTGTCTCAAAATTGTATTTTTTGTACTTGTTCAGTGTAAACCCCAATATAAAACTATACTTTTAAATAAGCTGATATTTTCAAATTCCAAATTCAGTGGTACCTCCTGAACTATTAAATAGTTCAGCACACTGAAGCTTCTATGGTCAATGCTGTCTTTCTTTTTAAGATGTTAGTGGGAAACATACTAAAAAGTATGATATATATCTGTAAATAGCTTCACATCTTAGAAAAAAACTGTGCATAGTAAATTTTTCCCAAGATTTCAGGGCCATAATTATAAATATTACTTTTGCACTTGTGCAAATTCCTGTTGAGTTCTTCTATCAGCTTTTTATAGGGTTTTCAGAGTCCCTACTCAAAGCCAGGCTATCAGCTGTCACTTCTTGATGGTCACAGTGCCTGCTCCAACAGTGGGCTGGGACAAACCACACCCCTTTGAAATGTGTCTAAAATTAGAATGGATAGGTTCTGAGAGAGAACCTGAGGAGCTCTGTAGAATCTGTGATGTGTTTTTCCCTGGAAACTTTCCCTTTATTTCCTTTAATTTCTAGAATCTCAGCAATGTTCCATACCAGATTATTCAAAAGCCTTCAGATACTTTATGTATTTCTCCATTATCTTATAAACATAAAAGTCAAAGCAACTTGCTAATGGTTTTAGTCCACAGCTAATGATAATTCTAGCGAAACCAATTCTCATGTCAGAAATAAATTATTTGACTGGATGGACACTTCTTTCTCTGAGGTTGGTAAGAACTGGGACCAAGGCCATCAGTGAAAACTAATGTGGCATTTGACTCATGGATGACCCTGGCCCCTGCTTCTGGTATGTAACCTCCAGGCCTCTGGGCTTTGGACACGGTGGGTACAGGTGTAGGTGCAGGTCCAGCCAAAACACTCTGGGAAACTGGCAGGGAGGGTTTGTAGACCTGGATGGCAGCACACTCTTTTTCTTCATGAGCCTATGATTCATTAAATGAACTTGTTTTGCTTCCATCATATGCAAGATGCTGCGGTGAGAATCAAAGATCATCTCAAAGTCTGGTGGAGGTGAGGGACCATACTAGCATAAATTACATCGCAACCTTAGTGCTATGCAGGGATGGATACAGGGCTGGGCCGGTGGGGGTGGGGTTGCTAAATTGGACAAGCTCTGGTGAGGTAGCTGCAGAATGAGCTAGAACAGAATGAGCAGGACACTGAGTGCATGAGCCAACTCCAAGGAGGCTCTGGCCCAGCCTCCAACCTCATCCTG